CCTGCAAAGGAAACCTTCGACGATTATGCCATAGAAAAACTGGCAATGCTGCATCGAGTGGACCTTCCCGAAGCGGACAAGGTACATCTGCTGGTGAGCGGAATCACCATCACCACTTTGAAGGCGACGGCGCTGTCACTATCGGAGGACACGGTGGACGGCTTCCTGGAGAGGATGCGGCGTATCACTCAGGGCGCCTCCGAGTGGGACCGGAAACCAGCGCAGCAGGGTCAGTCCAGCAAGGGAGGCAAGGAGTCAGCCTGCAGAAATTGTGGTAAAAGAGGGCATTCCCACAAGGACTGTAAAGGTGAGACCACTTGTTTCTATTGTAAAGAGAAGGGGCATCGTCGGTTTGATTGCCCCGCACTAAAGAAAAAGGAGTCGAAGGCGGCGACCAGGGCGCAGCCTGCATCGGGAATCACGGCAGCCAGCGTGACCGCGGATGAGGTAGCATCCGATTTCGTGGCGGCAACACAGGAAGCGTGCAAGTCGACCGTCGACGATCCGTTGATTTCTATAAACGAAATTTTAGGAAATTCATGCGACTTGTTAGGACTTATAGATACGGGTAGCCCGGTTTCGCTAGTAAAAAATAGCGTATATGAAAAATTTATTGCGCCATTTTGCGTTCTCAAATCGGTGGAGACAAATTTACGGAATCTATCGAACGTCCCGTTGAAAATACTCGGGTCGGTGGATGTTCAGATAACTTTGAAAAAAATTAGCGACAAAACATTTTCAATACGGTTATATGTTTTGCACTCCGACGCGTTCAAGGGCGACATTATACTTGGGAGAGAATTTTTGTCGAAAAACAATATCACTTTAATATACGAACCGGCGGCGCAAGGTGAACATGACCGAATAAACATGTTTGCGAATTTGCCTTTGTATATTGACGAGGACTTGAGTTTAAAACAAATACTCGAGGAACATGAAATAGACTTCGGGCGCGAAACAAAAATAAAGTTACAAAAATTATTTTAGAGGTACAAGAACAGGACACGTCACCTGTAAACGACGACTTCTCAGTGCACGTACATTTGAGAGATCCGTCGATCTATGCGTTCGCGCCCAGGCGCTTCGCGAATGTAGAGCGAACGCAGATCCGGCAAATCACAGACGATCTCCTAGAGCGAGGTATTATTAGGCCGAGCGTCTCGCCTTATTGCGCGCGGGTCGTACCTGTGAAAAAGAAAAATGGTAAGATGCGTTTGTGTGTTGATCTGCGACCGTTGAACAATCGCGTGGTCAAGCAAAAGTATCCGTTTCCGGTAATCGAAGAATGCTTATCGCGATTGAGTGGAAGTCGCGTTTTTTCATTATTAGACTTAAAGGATAGTTTTCATCAAATCAGAGTCCATGAAGACTCCATGAAGTACTTTTCATTCGCGACCCCGGACGGTCAATTCGAGTTTACCCGGTTGCCATTCGGTTATTGCGAGGCACCGGCCGAATTTCAGAAAAGACTAATTAGCATCCTTAATTCGTTAATCAGGGAGAACAAGGTAATAGTCTATATAGACGACGTGCTAATACAGTCTGTAACAATAGAGCAAAATCTGGACACACTAAAAGAAGTTCTCGTTATATTGAAAACGCACGGTTTCGAGCTAAATTTCGGAAAATGTAAATTTTTAAGGAAGAAGATAGAATTTTTGGGATACATAATAAACGCGGACGGGATTACATTAAGCCCCCGCCACGTGGACGCGATCACAGGATATAAAGAACCGTCCGACAAATTAAAATTACAACGTTTTCTGGGACTCGCAAGTTACTTCCGAAAATTTGTTAAAGATTTCGCGCTAAAAGCTAAACCACTACAGAATCTTTTGAAAAAAGACGTTGTATATAATTTTGACGAACGTTGCGCGCAAGCATTCGAAATTTTGAAAAAAGAACTGACCTCCACTCCGTTGCTGAGACTGTACGATCCGGCGGCCGAAACCCAGTTACACACAGACGCATGTTGCTTAGGGTTCGGAGCGATCCTTCTCCAGCGACGCGATAATTCCTGGGGTCCGGTTGCGTATTTTAGTCAAGGCACGAACGCAGCGGAGAGCAGGTATCACAGCTACGAGCTGGAAATGTTAGCAATCGTTAAATCAGTTGAGCGGTTTCACATATACTTATATGGCACGCGGTTCACAATAGTAACAGATTGTAACGCAGTAGTATATGCGGTAAATAAGGCAAACCTAAATCCGCGAATAGCGCGATGGACTCTCGCGCTGCAAAATTACTCGTTCGACATCATACATCGTCCAGGTAGTCGCATGGCACATGTAGACGCGCTTAGTCGAAGCGTCGCGCACATAGACGAACTTCCGCTGGAGAGACGCCTTGAGTTCCTTCAGCTTGCGGATTCGAATATCCTAGAAATTAGTAAAAAGTTAGAACTAGAGCATAATGATAAATTCGCATTAGTAGACGGATTGGTTTATAAGAAAATCGATAACGAACTGAAATTTGTAATTCCGGAGTCGATGATATCCAATATAATGAGAATTTATCATGACGAAATGGCTCATTGCGGAGTAGAAAAAACAGTAAACGGAATCTTAAAAAACTATTGGTTTCCCACCATGAGAAAGCGCGTAAAAGAACACATAGACAATTGTCTTACCTGTCTTACAGCCAATAACGCGCTTAACAGGTTCGAAAGGGAAACTCAACTGCATCCTTTGCCCAAGGTTCCGTTAAATACGTTGCATGTAGACCACTTCGGTCCACTGCAGGAAACTGTAGAAAAATACAAATATATTTTAGTAGTGATAGACGCTTTCACCAGATTCACCTGGTTGTTTCCTAACAAAACAACCAGTAGTAGAGAAACAATTACGTGCTTAGAAAATATTTTCACAAGTTTTGGTAATCCTATGGAAGTAATATCGGATAGAGGAACCACCTTTACCTCTAAAGAATTCATAGAGTTATTATCGGACAAAGGTATCAAGCACCGTAAGGTGGCCGTAGCAGCACCCTGGGCAAATGGCACAGTTGAAAGGGTGAACAGGTTCTTAAAATCATCGCTAACCAAGCTCATCGATGCGCCAGATGAGTGGAAAAATTATTTAGGGAAAATGCAATACGTGATCAATAATACGTACCACGCTGTGACTAAATCAAGTCCAGCAAAACTAATGTTAGGTTTTGACCAACGCAGCCATTCGGATCACTCTCTAGCCAATTTCACCAAGGCCCTTGTCACCGTCGATGAGGACCTAGAAAAGAGAGAGATATTAATAGAGACAATGCTTCACGAGCAACAGATCTTGTAAGAGCGTACAATAAAGAATACAAGGATACTCACAGTATCAAGCCAACGCGATATAAACCAGGAGAGTACGTTTTGATAAGGGACACTGCCCCCAAAATAGGTACGAGCTCAAAGCTCAAACCAAATTATAAGGGCCTTACCTTATCGCAAAAAGTCTGGGCAATAGTCGCTATGTCGTCAAGGACATCCCAGGCTTTAATATTAAGCAGAAACCCCTGGATACGATCCTTTCCGCAGATAGAATAAAACCTTGGATTAAAATAGGGAAAAAAGAGACCGATTAATAGGTAGTCGCCAAGGTAAATAATCTGTAGTGTATATCTAATGTTAATAAGTGTAATGAAAAAAAAAATTTTTATTAATGTAATACGTACCTGCGTGAAATAAATAGAATACGTACCTGTTAAAATAATAAGCGGTACTACTTAATATTAGAAAAAAAAAATTTATAATTTCGAGACGAAATTATTGCAGCATGGCCGAGCTGAAAGCAATCGCCACCGATCGGCTGATTGCGCACGCGCCGATACGACAGCTGTCCCCGATAACTGCTGCCCTCGGCGATAAGCGTATAGGGCGCAAACTAAAGCGGCGCGCGCGGGAGAGTCAAAAGGGTATTTAAGCTAGCGAGCGGAAAGGCCCGGGACTCTCCTTCGAGCAGTATACCGAAAAAGATAGTTGATTTTGTATACGGGAGTCTTTCGTAATAAATAACAGTCTTTGTCTTCAAGTGAATATTTTGTTGAGTGACTTTCAAACACCTTTCTCGAACCTTCGTACTTTCCGCGCTTTCTAAGAACAGTTGAAACTTTTAACGACATCCGTAATTAAATTCTTTCTGTTAATATTCTCGATTTCTTACAATATGTATATAATTATCTACATATTATTTTATATTTAGCGATGATTAAAAAATTGTATTTTTGAATTATTGGTTTTCGAGGTTACTGACATACTCGAGATAATAATCCTTGTGTTTATATATATATTTGCATTAAAAAAAAATAAAATTAGATTAATTAAATTTCTTTTTTTTTTTAGTCTCTATTGTTTAGAAATAAATTTTCTTATACACAATGTCATTCACCTAATATTGTGTCAGAATATGTTATAAAAATAACTCTCAATGCAGATATTTTTTTTTAGAATAAATGCGATGAAGAAATTTATGGCTGAACATATATTTCTTTGTTGAGATATTTTCATCCTGAACTCTGACGTATTATTTATATATATGTGCACAAACATGAATCGCACAAATATGAAATTATAGAATAGCAGAGTCACGGAATACAACGTCAAGTTCGTAAAACTGATGCAATCACCTTCGCTGATTCGATCTTTGGGGACTTTATTCTTTATTTTGAATATATAATAATTATATATATGTAATTATTTTGAATATTTCTTTCTGTAATAATTTGGTCGATATTGTACAAAAGCAAAATTTAATAAAGCTAACATGATTGGCAGAAAATAATAGTATTAGATTACATATATCTAAAAATACTTCACTAAAGAAAATCGATGATTAAACTGGTCGTATATTTTTCTTGGCCTTTATCTCTAAGAATTATAATTCATGTTCCATTAATAATATTCTGCAAAATAAAATATAAAAAATGAAATGCAGTATTACACGGTTCAAGGGAAGAAGAAAATTGGGGAAGCTAGATAATAAATTAGTTCTGTTAAATAAATATCAGTAAACTTATAATTGCGGCGTACATGTATTATTTTATTCAATGATTCGAAATACAGAACTGAAAAAAATTCTACACAAGTAAGAACTCACTTAATGGGCAATGTTCGAAGATTGAAAAGTTTACAAGTTTTCACCGTCGCTTGACTTTCTGCAAATAAAGTTAATCTACAGAAGGCAATTTGTTAAAAAACACGTGCACTTGTCCCACATCGAACATTTTCGAAGCATTCGACTTATAAATATCTCGTCATTTACGTGAATCATGCACGTAATAGCGTACACCCTAAATAGTTGTCACTTTGTGCAGAAGTGAGAGAAAAGAGAGAGAGAAAACGGGTATACTTTCTACAAGTCTGTAATGACTACACACACATACACACAAATTCGATCTACGCGTAATTTCAAACTTGACTTTATAATTGCCTATCTTTATTTTGAGATGCGCATATTACATATTTTTAATTCCTGTCTATCAGCTCGCACGGATCAGACATATTAATTACTGAAACTTGCAAGAAACAAAGCTCACGCGAAATTTCTCGTTTTTGATAATATTATATTAATAATGATCATATTATAACAATCTGACTCAGGAACATATCATTGCAATTAAATAATTTTCAATAGGGACGCGATAAGACGAAGAGCGCCCCTATTGCAACTTAATAAGCGCATCGTTCATTATAATATTATTCGTTCTCGGATTATATGTTCGGGGTTTAACCTAGGACGAATATCACCTAATTTTCGAATTATCCCGAAGGTCCGAGGATATTTATTTTCCTAAATAAGCAGTTGATACGGCAAAAAAAAAACTTTTACTTCTCTTACGTTCGATAAGTTAATATAATTCGTAAAAGACGAATCTTTTGGTAGATCTATTTCGAGTCTGTTTCCATTTTGATCTCTTCCGCTTTCTTGTCCTTTTTCGAAGCTTCGCTATCGGTGCCCTCTCCGTTGCTGTTATCACGTCTTCGTTTTCTGGCAAATCGTCCCTTGAATTTCGGAGGAGGCAGTTGCTCCATACCTAAGACTTTGTGAATCTGACGGAACGCCACTAATCGCAACGCGTGTTGCGCGGACGCGGTAATATCTTCTCTCTGTTGAGACGTCATATTTCCTATCGCGTCTACCGGCTCCTTCTCGCACGGATCGGATAAACCTGCAAAGCACAAAGCTACGCATTATTTACCAATCATCGTTATCCGTTGAATTCGATCAGCATCGTTAAAATTTTGTTCAGTTTGCCAATTCATCAATGCATTATTGTGAAATGTAACGATTGTGATACAAGATAACGAAACACTCGTACTTGATCGGCAATCATCCATCACAATATGCTTAGTCTCGTCATCTTTTTCATCATAACAAAAATAAAGAGGAATCGATGATCAAATATAATGTGTATATATATATATATATATATATATATTTATAGAGATTCTCGAATATTACCTGGACTGCTTGGTAGCAATATTCCTCCTGCTACACATTCCAAAAGTCTTCTCAAAGCTTCACCCGGACTTAGAGGGCCACCTGCAGTACTTATTACTTTCTCTGTCAGTAACTCCAATGCCTGTATACACATCAAAATTATTACAAATTTTTTCAAGATTGCGTGTTACAAGTACACGTGAGAAATAATACACATCCTATACTCACCCAAGGATTTAACGGACCCCACGTTGGCACACGATTGCAAAGGTCGCGCATTATACGGATAACCATAACGCAGCTCTGCAGTGAAGTTGCTCTAGCCTGTTGAACAGGATTAATTATTTTAAAAAACTACGATTTAACATACGGCGATGAAAGCACTTTTGGTTTCTTTTGGAGAAATAAGACGGCCTAAACTAATTCTTTAATTTACTTTGTGTGGGCTTTAGCTATCCTCCCAGCCTCGTGCCTAATGCCCCTAATAGTTTATTAGCCCATATCAATATTACCGGGTGTTTATCACTTTTCCTAAACGTAAATTACCTATCGCAATGATAAAAAAAGCTAGAGCTTATATATGTCTTTTCAAAAACTGTTCATGTCATAGTATCTTTAGTATCTCGACTCTTTACTTTACAGAAACACCCGGTACACTTATGACGCGCTACTGTGTGTTTGTGCTTGTCTGTCTCTTTTAATCTTCAAAAGCTGTGCAGTTAACGCACATATATTATATATAAATACAAGTATTACAAATAGAACAAAATGCATAATCTTAGAAAAGCTGTGTACGCTACATATGACGAATTGACTTTCAAATTAAGACAGACCTAGAACAGACGCAGCCTAGGCTACAACGCATTAAGGACGATCCAGAATAATTAATTATATATGTTTGAATGACGTAAAGCGCAATCGTGCGATCTGCGTTATAAAGAAAATAAAGAAAATTACATACATTCTAAGAGACGCAAATAATGAATCCACATACTCGAATTGACTGATTTCTCGTAAAAGAAAACAAGTTTCCTATTTATTATTCTGGATGTGTTTGCAGAGATTTGTAAAGCCAAGCAAATGTAAATGCAGCATCTAGCAGCGTTGCACAAATGACTGTCGAGATACACATTTACATGTTGCTTACTTGTTCGAGATTTCTTGCCTGATAAATATCTGATCGCGTGTTCGATACGTTCGATTATGTTTTCGGATAGCCAATGTGCGGACGATGCCACTGTTATATATATCTATATATTATTTCGAACAATTTCTCTTTGATCATAATGTATAGTGTGGGCGTAGGTCCACGCGCGCGAAACACAAACGTAAAATCTAAACGTAACTCTAAAGAAGACAGTGGACATGACCGACTGGCACTTAGTGTTCGAAAGTTCAGCGGATATAAAAACGACGAATATCGAACGTGAGATCAAATAGGCAATTCAGACAGAATCGTATAAGTCGAATAATGATAAAAATAAAACCGTCACAAGGCTGGAAGTTTCTAAGACTGCTTTCCCTTTTTTTCCTTGTCTTTTCGTCTTTCGATTCGGTTCTTTTAAAAAGGAGAGAAAGAGAGAGAACAACTTGTCTCGCGTTTCTCGTCAGGAGAAAATAAAAGAAAATCCATATATATATATATAAATATATATAAATATATATATCGCGCCAAACAAGTACGTGGGCGCTTCGACAATTCGAGATCTTGAGTTGAACTTGTGAGTTGATGGATTCAAACCTGGAACCATTTGGCATGCCTGAGTGCAGCTAAAGCGTCCAAACATTTAGCCTTGGGAAGTACATCTGGCGGATCTGGTTTCGTCACGGTGGGGGCCGCGGGCGAAGTTTGCAGTTGAGCAGCTTCCTGCTGCTGTTGTCCAGCATTATCTGAGATTCCAACAAAGAAAGCACAACACGCTTAGACAACACTTAGAGTGTTTGATCATGCCCAGAGATTTTTTAGGTATTCCCTCTCTATATTATGTATATGTATTCATTTCAACTTATAAAGCACCTTTAATTTGTGGGCTATTTATATAATTAATATCGTGATATAATAATGCCAACGTGAAAAAGAAATATATAAGCCTGGATCGAATGTAGTACGTTTGCAATACACCGAGTTCAACCCCCGTTCAACGTTCTTTTATCGGATTTAGCGTTTCTCCGCCATTCAAGAACGTCCGACGATCCTTATCAACATCGGTATTGTTCACCTCTATCCGCTTAAAAGGTAGGTAGCACCGATGCCGAAAGAACGGTCGGTTAAATCCCGAGGTATGGTGGTAGTAATGCACATCGCAGAATGTATGCGTACAGCATTCGATAACAGATCAGAGGGATTTCTTTCTGTCTTTTTATGCATGATCAAAAAGTCCATAGTTTTAAGATTGCCTCAGCGTTGTTTTCTCCTATCGCAAGTGTGTGTCCACGTTCGATGAAATCTCCCGTTAATTATTATTATAATATCGTTCGTCGATGATTGTTTGTTCTAGTTTTAATAGATTCATCAGTGAGAGAAAGTATGCAAAAAGCCGCTACTACAAACGAAATAATTGTATGTAATATGCGAGTAGGGCAACCGGTATCTAACCGCATATCAAGTTTACGCTCTCTCTTTTCTATAAAAAAATTTCATCTCAATATCGCTCGAGTATCGCTTACCCTCTTACAGTCGAAAATGCATTTCACAAGGAGGACTCTGTCGTGGACACACTAAGTAAGACACGCAGCTATATCGAGAAAGAAATTAACTTTATGTTAGAGCGTATATGTACACTGGCAACTGTCGAACCATCCTTGGCTGCCCCGCCATCGTCCTGGTGCTTAAAAAAACTTACAGAAAATCTTCCGGGCCATGAAAAGAACAAACCAAATATATAAAACTGCAGAAATAGATCGATAGAAGAAAACGGCACGAAAATAAAGAGGGTGCATAATTCCGCTAAAAACTCCACTTTGCTTTCGTTGTAGTTATCCTTTTCTTGGCCACGATAAAAATGCGAAACAATGAAATCACCTGCTGTTGCGGTCGACTTGGGTGTCTCACGCATTAGAGGACTGGTAAGCGTCACGCTGACGGTAACTGTACCACCTGAGACAGTCAAAGCCGCGGATTCCGGATGCTTGCCGACATTATATGTTTCCTCAGGAGCTACATTTTTCAGTTCACCAGGTAAAATTTCAGCGACCTTGTTGAGCAACGTCCTATAACATTTAATTTATATATATATAGAAATTAAAATATAATATATTACATAATACGTGCATAAAATCATCTTGAATACCTTGTTGGTTTTTCAGCGCATAATACAACGAGGCATACATGATTATCCCCAGATAGCAATAAACCTTTGGCCAAGTTGCCGACCCGCATAACGCCACGAAGTATCCTAGAATCTTCCTTCTCCTTTTGAAATGAAAAGAGATTTCCGTCGCTGCCATCTTCTTTCTGCGGTGTGACCGCCTTCTTTTTGTCGGCTTCATCCTTCTTTAACGCGTCCGCATTTGCTTGTGGTGTACCAGCCACAGCCGGTGTTGCTACGGCAGCATTAGCATTTACAGGAGTATTCTTCTTGCCTATAAACAGTAACACATGTAATCCTTGATAATTGAAATTTCTTAGATCGAATCCAAAAGTGGAAGATATTTTTTTTTTTTTTTTTTTTAATCATACTTACCAGCCTCGGCTAAAGCATCTGACACAAACTTCAACGCTTTCTCTGTGTGAGAAACAATTTTCTGGACTGCCAATAATTCTTGTTCCTTGGGATAAATGGTCGTATGATGTGCTAATACGTGCTTATCATCCGACGAATCTGGTCGTCTCTGTGGACCAGGGAACATCATCATGGGCGGTGGTCCTGGGAAAGGTCGTGGCATGGGTGGTGCACCTGGACCGCGTCCATATCGTCGATACCACTCGTAATATTCGCATTCTTCCTCGTAACGACGCCTTTCTTCCCAATACATCATTTCCTCATCCATTATAGGTCCCATAGGTCCCAGCTGGTTAATCTCTTCTCTGCGACGTAGATATTCGTCGCGCATTTGTTGCCTACGTAATTTTTCTTCGAGCATCTTGCGTTGTTTGAGACTAGGTTTCATGTCAACAACCAAATCGGGATTGACCTTCTTTTGTAGGCGAATCTATGACGACGACCCTTCATGTGCATGTCTTTGGCATTGGGATCGTTGAAGCGGCACTCGCATAGTTTACAATTGAAACTTATAATCTTTCCATCTTCGGATTTGTTCTCTTCAATGTACTCTTGACCGACCGGCTGGATATCCTTCTCATCGCCCGCAGCTTCTTCCACAGCTTCTTCAGTGACTGGCTCTTCCTGCTTTACTTCGACAGTTTGATTCTGATTCACCGTACCCAAATTTCCAGCTGAAATACATATTACAAAAGCGTATGTATATAAATGTTCGCAAAAATATACAGTTGAATCTTGATAACTTTGCAACGCGAAAAGAACGTGGAAGTTTACACTTACAAGCAACGAAATTGATTTTGGGAGTCGCTGTTATCGTTGGCTTCTTGGTCGTGGTGGCCTTGGTGGTTGCGGCCGGTTTAGGATTCAAAACAGTAGGATCCGCACTTGGGATAGGCTTTCCGAGCTTAGTATGCAGTTTCACCACTTTTTGATGCTTAGCACCTCGGATGTGAGCGGCATAGGCGTCATTTCCAGTACAGGTTACATCACAGAGTTCACAACGTAGGCTGTTGCCTGCTCCACGTGCGGGGGGCTGTTGCGGCACCTTTAAGGAGGCCTCCTTCTTCTTATGCTTCTGACCCTCCAGATGCTCACGATAGGTTTGCGGTCCGGCACAGCTGATCTTACAGACATCGCAATAGTGTAGTTGCTGAGGTTTGGGAGGCTGCTTGGGCCGCATTGCTTTCATTCCTCCCCCGCCAGCTCCGAATCCCTTTCGTCCGTAGCCCTGCCAACCTCCAGTCTTCTGGTTAGTGGAATTGCTGTTTGCACTCTGTTGGGCTACATACATAGTCGCAGCGCTATATAGCGCTGCGTCGTAGCCGGAATACGTTGTACTCGCCGTTTCTAAGGGAAATGAAATTGAAACCTCAAACTTTGGAGGAGTCCACCAAACCTTTTGTACTTTCGCGCGGCACAAAATTTTTACTATTATCAATTTCGAGATGCATTAAAATACGAATTGAGTAAGATTTTCGCGATATTGAGATAGTCTGATATATTCGAAAATTTACTCCATAATTTAGGAGTAGATAGAAAAATTTCAGACTTCTGCTAAATCCTCGAGTTGTTATCACGTTCGAGAATGTTAGCAGAGCTTTTGTGAATTTTTGTCCTTTTTTTCATCTTTTCACGTGTCATGAGAGGATCAATTTCATGTTATTAGTTCCTACGTCACAGTTAGTGATCAAAACAGGACCGGAGTTTTTTGGAGATAAAATGCACAAGGGAAAAAGATTTAACAAACAACTTACTATTTGTCGCAGTTGATGGCGTAGCAGCAGGTGTAGCTGGAGCTGTGTATCCTGAAGAATAAGTAGCGCTCTGTGTAGGATTCGATTGTTGGTAAGCTGTACTAGATGCTTGATAAGTTTTAGCTTGTCCAGTGGTGGTGGCTTGTCTGGCAGTGCCAGTATAAGCACTAGTCGTACTGTAAGCAGGCTTTGCAGCTTGGTAATGTGTTTCAGTAGTAGTATAAGTTGCTGCAGCAGCAGCTGGTTGTTGATAGTAGGTTTTGGTTGCGTCGTATGTGGCTGCAGGTGCAGCTCTACCGTAACCGTAATCGTATGTTTGAGCTACAGTACCAGGGTTTGCAGCTGCAAGGCAAAATGTATCGCAACTGTCATTATTACATACGAGATATCTATTCAAATATTCCAAGTTTTAGGTAGCTTGATCATATTTTATTTAAATACATGAAATAGTGAACGAGTCACTATTCCTCAGTCTCTATTTTTTATTCCTCACAAATTATAAAAATATATTATTAAAATTTAATTATACAGTACAGAAATATAACTTTTTATTCTATTTTATGCAACTATTTAAATAAATTTGTGTCATTTATTTTCGCAAAAGTAAATTTGACAAAAAACTGATCTATATTTGTAATTATTTGAATAAGAAATTAAAAAATACACATCTTAGGACTTGTGATTTTCCTAAAAACTCATAAAAATGATTCTTCTCTTCTTGTCAACACAAATCTCCTTGCGCAAGGTTAGCAACCTCTCTCAGCGGAGACACCAATTCAATGTATGCGAATACAAAAATCTTGGAGCAACATGATCCATAAGTAACGTAAATATTTGTACATTCAATATAAATTTCTACCAAATTTTCCATTGTACTCGCAAATTAAAAAATGCATATCTTATGACTTGTAATTTTCTTTAAAAAAATCTCATAAAAATGATTTATCCCTTCTTTTCAACACAAATCACCTTGAGCAAGGTCAGCAACTTCTCTCAGCGGAGCCTCCAATTCAATGTGTATGCGAATGCAAAAATCTTGGAGCAAGAATGTGATACATAAGGGACATAAATATTTGTACATTCAATATAAATCTCGCAAAACGTCCACGAGGCAGATCCACGAGGCTCGTGGAAAGCTCGAATAATATTCGTATCCATGTATATATACAGCATAATCGAACGTTACCTGCATACGTTGTTCCGGTTGCGGCCGCAGCGGCAGCTGCCTGGTAAGTCTCGTAGCCGGTCGCGGCAGCGGCAGCGGGTCGTTGAGTGTAAGTCGCCGCGGTCGCCGCCGGGGTTACCGCATATCCCGGTTGCCCGGTCTGATAAGCGGCAGCGCTAGTAGCCCTATCGGAGAAACAATCGTAGAATAAAAGGAATATCGCGTTCCGCGTCGAGCGTCCGCACGTGGCACGCCACGCGGAGTTCGAGAATGCTCGATGAACGCTCAACGGACGCTATTCTCTTTCCCGATCGAACGAAAGAAATGGCCGCCGAAGCCGGCTGGGCCGCTGGAAGAAACGTGTCGACGTTTTTATCACTCGCGCGGTCGCGCAAACGGCCCGGAATCTTCGCTCAGTCTAATCCTGGCTACTTAATAATATTAGATGTAAACGAATTTCGTACCCATATTGCGTTCCGCCGTGAGTAAATCCAAAATAATTGTTCTGAGCCATCCTTCTCCTCGCAGAGGACCCCGGAAAGGAAGGACAATGGAGGAAGTTGTAGGGCGTGCCAGAAGCGACTCGATAATACGGCGGCGACGCCGTAGCGCGCGTCCGATAGGCAGAGGCCGCGCGAGCGAGACGCTCCGATTGGCCGATTCCGTTGGAGCCGCGACGCGAGACGATTCCACGCGAGGACTAGTAGCGCCGCGTCGTGGCCAAGACGCATGCGCGCAAACCACGACGATGCGCATGCGCGCGACGACTGGCGCCGCATTACCTACCGTCGCCGCCGAGAACGGTGAGCGGAGTTTTCGACTCCGTATATAGGGCGAGAAAAAGCGAGAGAGAATTTAACAGGAGAGAGCGAGAACGCGCGAGGAAAGACGCGCGGGTCGAATGGACGCACGTGGCTTGTCGTGCCTCGCAAAACTTACTGCGTTATATTCTCCGGGTTACGAGATCCGGGACGCCGGGAGGTAGTGGAATGTGTAGGCGGACGCCGCTATGTAATAGCGCGACGCGTGTGTGCGTCCGGCGTGCACGTGGCTGGGCTCTGCGCTCGCGGCACGCCGCCCGAGAGAACGTGTGACACGCAACGGATGTTGCGAGTCCGTACGCGCCTCTCGCGTGCGTGACTCCGGCCGTACGGCGACACGCCGTGCCGTCAGAGGGTTCCGAGACCTCCGCTCTCGACCGCCCTCTGGCGGCTTTGGCGGTCGATTCGTCGATCCTCACTCAAGAATCTTATTTACCCTCGCGAGGGTAAAATTCCTATCGAGAAGGCTGACTTACCAGCTTTTTCTCGGTCAGCGCCATCTAGCGGCGCCGACTGACACTTCAGCGTTTGACACTTCGCACGGGTACTTTGAGATACGTAGATGCGCGTATGTTTAATATATAAGCACGGAGTATATAGTATAATCGGCAGTAATCTTACAGTGCCTCGATTAGACTCGACGTCGCTGTCGCGTACATTTGATTTCTTTCTCGGGGCGCGATTCGCGAAAATAATATATGAGTTAATTTTTAATATATATACGCAGATATTTCTGGCCATTGTGTCTAATCTTGCGACGGAAATAGAATAAAATCATTCTCTGGCATGATGCATATTCAACCGGGAAATCTCCTGACGCCGAGCAAGATACATTATTTGGCGGTTCTCTTTCTGTCGCTGAATTGCTTAGTGGCGCCGATTGCGCCTGGAAACATCGTGCTGATTATTACCGACGATCAAGATTTAACTTTAGATGGCATGGTAAATATGTTTTATTTATATATAATGAAAGTTTATCATCTTAAAATTTTATATTTAATTGCTATACTTATATAATTTCTTATCGCTACATAATTTTTAAATGAGAAGCTACACTAATAAAAAAGGGAATAAATTACGAAATAAATGCGCGCTAAATCAAGAGTATCACTTCGGAGACACCTGCGTTTTTATTTGATTTTAAATTTTCAGACGCCGATGACGAATACCCTGAATCTCATAGCATCTCAGGGTGCCACGTTCACGAATTGCGTAAGTTTCTTTATTTATATTTAATGTTATAGAAGATTATATATTTTCTTTCGAGATATTTAAAGAAAATATACCGTGTGTCCAGTTCGTAGCTTCGCCTATCTGTTGCCCGAATCGTGCGTCCATCCTGACCGGACGATATCAGCATAATCACTTGACGGTGAACAATTCTATCGCCGGTGGTTGCAGTAGCACGCAATGGCAACGATCGCAAGAACCGGCAACATTTGCCGCTCTCCTGCGAAACATCGCCGGATACAAGACGTTTTACGCCGGAAAATACCTGAACGAGGTACAATACAATTTACAATTACAATATGATAATCGCGATCGTTAAAAAAACAACATATATATTACATATATATATATATATATATTTCTACAACGATTTTGTGAATGATTGAATTAAAAACGAGGACTCGACGAACAAATTTTCTGTAAAATTGGAAAAATTTGATATTGAATTTTTCCTACTTTTTATTTTTTTAATTCTCTCTCAATTGCTATTTGTGTGGCTCTTAAAATTGATAAAAATATAAAATGCGCACGATATATGTAAATTTGCAGTACGGAAGCGAAAAGGTCGGTGGTGCAGCTCACGTACCAGTGGGATGGGACTGGTGGGCTGGTCTTTTAGGAAATTCCAAATATTATGATTATTCGTTGTCGATAAATGGTACCGAGACCAAGTACGGTGAAAATTCGAGCGATTATCTTACGGATGTAATCGTAAGTATATAATATGTATGCAGGATATTTTCAACACAGAGTATACATAAGCGCTATTAAATTTCTTTAAATTTTTTATCGTGATGATTTGGATCGACATCTCAAATCTGATCTGTTTGATTAAAAGAAAAATTAAAGTTACTTTTGAATTAATTATGTGTGTGTGTGTGTGTGTGTTGTATACAATTAATATAATGTAATATATAATTATAATATAATATAAAAATTATTTTTAAAAATTACTCTAGAATACATATAGTAGTTTATATGTTTAATTAAAATAAAAATAAAAATTTTTTATATACAAATTTAACATGAGACAACAATTCAAATCGTCACAACGAAAAGTTAAAAAAAAGTATTTAAGTTAAAAATACATATATATAATATTTATTTAAAAAAAAAAAATATATATATATATATAATTTTTATTTTTATTTTAATTAAATGTATAATATATATGTATTCTAGAGTAATCTGGCCATAGATTTTATTAACGCATACTCGAACGATCAACCTTTCCTCATGGTATTAGCACCTCCAGCCCCTCACGCACCTTTTACACCTGCTGATAGACATAATGATAAATACAATGACACGAAAGCAAAGAGAACCCCAAATTTTAATGTTCCCGTGCATCAGGTATATAGCATTGTTATATGTATAAGCTAATTATTTATGTACAGGATATTTTTCTATGAAGTTATATCTGGTATATAATTTTCTTATTCTTGAAAAACAGGACAAACATTGGTTAGTTAGAAAAGGTCCAACTCCTTTGCCAAACAGTGTATTACCAAAATTAGATAAGATATACAGGAAGAGATGGGAAACTTTGCTAGCGGTCGATGAACTCGTTGAAAATATATACAATTTGCTGAAAGAGCGAGATCTTTTGAACGACACCTACTTTATTTATACCTCCGACAACGGATATCATGTTGGTAGGTAATTCAATGGTACACCCAATGGATGTTAAAAGCTAAATGAAGCGTACTAAAAGTTGTCAAAGCACAAAAGATTCAGACAATGTCATCTTTAAGTTTGACTATTAATTTTCAAAAATAATATTAATTTTTAAAATTATATTTATATAAGAAAACTGTATTATTAAATTGTTTTGCAAGTTTTCTCCTATTTGTCCGTACAAGACATGCATTATTTCGACAGGACAGTTTAGCATGCCTATGGATAAGCGTCAACCCTATGAAACAGATATACGAGTGCCATTACTGATATCCGGTCCAGGAATTGACTCGTCTACAATTTCCGCAGCCGTTAGTAGCGTCGATATCTTCTCTACGCTCTTAGATATAGCCGGTGTAGAGTATCCATCTGACGGGAGGACATTGTTTAAAACGACGCGCGATTTACCGCAAGATCGTACCGTATTGATTGAGTACAGGGGAGAGAGATCTAAAAAGGCCCCTTCGTCCGGTTGTCCGAGCGACAGCGATCTTAATGTTACAGCAAGTTTCAAATATTTAGAAATCTTTATAAAACCAGATTCCTTTCGAATTACTTGCATATTAATTTCGTTGTATGTTTTTGCAGTTATGCGTGAAAGAAATGGCATGCAAATGTCAGGATGCTGCGAACAATACGTTTAGTTGTATTCGTCGCGTTTCGCCGCGCTTCAACAACATCTTCTGCATCTTCGAGGATGATCAGGTATTGTGTTTTTTTAAACATCTCGAAAAAGCATTTTTGCAACTAAGAGCATTTTTATCGTCTCTTTTTCAGAGATTCATCGAGGCTTACGATTTGAACTTGGACGAGTATCAAATGATGAATATCGGATATACCATGAAGAAAGGATTGAGATACAGATTCAGGAAACGTTTGAAGAGACTGGCGGTGTGTCGGGATGCGGAATGCGTTTTCACAGGTAAATAAGCAAATAAATTGAGCATATCGTTTTTGAATACACGAGTGCATCTATGTGGGAGATTATTATATAACGTGTATAATATATGTATCTTAAATCAAGATACGATTTATTTTTCTTTCCTTACTATATAAAGATTGCGCGCTGCGATATAATGTCTCCGTCCGTCCTAGGTCGCGGAAATAAAGAGCGCGGAAAGTTGTCTTATCTCGAATTATTGCATTTATGGAAATCGCCGTCGGAGAATACCGCTGCGAATCTGGATATAAGAATAACTCGCCTTGCTCGAAGGAGGAGGGCAGCATCCCTTCCCTACGACGGAACTGTTTTCTTAACAAATATTTTTATTAAAGCCCCGCAGAGAGATAGATAGAGAGAAAGAGAGTCTCGAATATCTGAATAGCAATAACGATATTCGCGAAAGTAAAGGGAGGAAGAAAGGAGGGGGTGGAAAAAGGCCGAGCTCGAAGACAGAATCGAGACTATCAGCACATGTTCAATATTTATATCGCTAAAACGTTTTTGATTCCTCCTCCGCGGATTTGTAATGATGCGCCATTATTCGCTATATTCGCTTCATTATTTTACGTGTAAGGATCATATCAGTATGAATGTCAGAAGTAGTAAATGTATACATATGTAGAGATAATGAAGATATATACACGGTTTTTATATATGTATATCCAACATGTCGAAAGAACTTTAGAATTAGCTGATAGATACGAACATCTCAGTTATTCTGGACATTTTTTTTCTTTTATTACATATGCAGGGTGTATCTAAATAAGTGCGAAAAATTTTAGGAGATGATTCTTTGTTGAAAATTAAAGAGGGTTTCTTATAAAAACATATAATCTTATATTTCTCCCTGAGGAGTTACACTTTTCTAAAGAGGAAGGTAAAAATTAAGTTTTTATTTTTTTGTTAAATCTTAGACAAATAAAAAAATAAAACTTGGTGAATATTTTCCACTAATAAGAAGGATATTTCTTAATATTTTTTTCATCTTTCTGTATCGTTATAAGAGGATGAAACTAAAACAACTATTTAATTTTTTACTTTTTTTATAAAATCAATAGTTAGAAAAAATAAAAACTTAATTTTAAAAAATGTAACTCTTCAGGGAGGATATAAAAGTACACGTTTATATAAGAAACCCTTCCCTTAATTTTCGACAAAGAATAATTTCCTAAAATTTATGTATTGTAAATGTATATTCTAATTTGACATTTGCGCGAGAAATAGAACCGTGTATGTTTCGATTGCTCGTACAAAGGGTTAAGTATTCGCACACGCACGGATATTCTTGAAAAATGCGCGTATGCGAGGAGGTCAGCGAGCAATGCCGACGCACAAAGCGTCGTGGGTTCGCCCCTTTCGGTGTCAAGGAGCGTGAGAGACGGTCTTTCACGTAACGTGAATGAACGTCAAAATGTTTGTCGACTAGCCGGGCCAGTGGGCTCGTTTGCACAGATGGCATTACGTCGAATCTAGCGGCCGCGTGCGCGCTAGATCGTCTTTATTGGGATTATCGTTGGCGGAGTTGCGGCGTGGACGTACAAAGCCGAAGGAAAAACTGGACTTATTCCGCGAGATTTGCATCTTGCGTCCTCCAGCTGAAAAATAGACGAGTTAAAGCGATGATTCGCCAAAGGAATTTGAATTCGTTGCGTGAAATTTAGCGAATAAATTGAACGAAAATCAAACGATTCGACCGTAAATTCTTATCGATTCTTCGAATGATTGTATAACCCGATTTCTCCCGCAGAAATTACACGGCAATTCCGTTACAGTATTAAGTTCTCATCAATTTTATTTCCTTGTATTTTTTCCAAGGAAGTTTCCAACTTTTATCTCTTAAAAGTTAATTGTTAACAAGTTGATTGCTCGAAGAAGGCAGACGATCGAGAAAGGTATAGATATCGTTTGCGAGTTTGCGAGAATTGTATCTCTTCATCGATTTCTTCGGAATCGATATTTTATTTCCATATTTGATATACACATAATAATAGTTCGATTCTATTCAATTTGCGATCTACGTGTGACAGTGGTATTTTTGACAGTGACGCACGAGCACACGCTATTGCACGAGAGGATTTTCCGGATCCTTGATCCTAGATCCTCGATCGATCGCTCGATTGGGCGTGTTTAGTGATCTTCGTTACATCGTCGCCGAGACGTGTAAGTCGGCTTGCGGACGAATTCTTTTATTCTCTCGTTCTTTATTGATCATTCGGGCGAGCGATCGCCTCCTTGTTGGCCAGGATCAATGGCTTTCGTTGCCTTTCGAGCCGTAGATCCAGGCTTTACTTTCCGGGCCCCTCCTTTTTAGCAGGGGGTTTCTTCTTCTAGCGGATACTTGTGCCAACTTGTACCGCCGAAAAGATGTAAAATATTTACCAAAAGGATCGATCTCTCTCGAGTGAAAAACGTATGAAATCGCAAGATGATGATGCGAGTCTGTTGAAAACTTTATCTATAGAGTGTATCTAAATAAGTGCGAAAAATTTTAGGAGACGATTCTTTGTCGAAAAGTAACTTATATAAACATATCCCTGAGGAGTTAAATTAAGTTTTTGTTATTATTATTTTTAATATTAATAAATATTCTTTATATAGTGGAAAATACCAAGTTTCATTTTTTTTAATTTGTCTGAAATCTGAGAAAAAAATTAAAAAAAAGAATCTTTACCTCCTTCTTTAGAAAAGTGTAACTCTTGAAGAACTTGATAAATATAAGAGTATTAATGTTTATCTTAATTTTCGACAAAGAATCATCTCCTAAAGTTGTTCACTTCTTTAAATACACCTTGTATACAAATTCGTACAGCTCAATTATGATCATTAATTTGCAATTTTGGCTTCACTTCTCTTTCTTCTTAATCTTTTATTTCTCATTTGCTCTTAATTTGCGCTCCAAATCTGAACGCTAAACACAATCACAATTGTGATACATCATTATATAACGAATAATATCGTCGATGTCACGATATTATTTATACATAATAATAAAACGATTGTACTTTATTGTCATTGTAAGATATATCCCGAGATCTCGTCTTCCTAAGATTGAAAATCGTCGGACGCATTAAAAACTAAGCAATTTACAATCTCGAGAGTTTTCCAGTGATCTGTCTTCAAACGGGCATCCCTTGTTATTCGATAATTAACCTTTCTCCCCACCCTTATAACCCGGCGCACGAGGCGAAACGAAGCGTGCCCTTCTGATTTTCCTTTGCCTTCTCCTCTCCGCGACTTCGAGATCGGTAACGCGGAAAATGCGAATTTACTGTAAATTAGTGAATTGGAAAATAACGCAGTAAAAGCGCGCTTCCTTTGACGGACCTTATGACGATATCGCGTTGAACGCGTAACAAGATCCCGGGAAGCTAAAACGGCGAAATTGTCGGAGCTCATCTCCGGTAATAAACAGGCAGCTAACAGGAGCGACGCATCTTCAAAATCAGCTTAATCGACAATTTCCGGTCCAAGGATCAAAGTATTACAAATCTAAAGCACTCCCAGGTATAGCACGGGCATACACGTCACTTTTTGACATCGAATGACGTCAATTAGCCACCGAGAGTCGCAAGATATAGAGGTACCACCGCGTCTACGGAGTCTATATATTCCCCGAAAAATTCAGGAAACAATCAACTTAATATTACGTGCGACGATTAGGATGAAAAGTAATAAATACCAGATGCAGCGTTGCTCAATTATCCCAGCGCGAGAAAGCAAAGATGAAAGCGCGCAGGAGAGGGCGCGTCCTTTAATTATCCGATCCATTTCTGCATATAACGCGGAACACGAGAAGCGACGAAATGAAACTCGCATTACCGGTGACGGCTTATACGAACTACAGTAGTCTAATCAAACACGGGGCTATTAACCGGGTCAACATTTTGAGTTTGGGGTACTTAGTGCCAAAGACTGCTATGCGGTACCTATGTCAATGACGCGCGCACGCACATATACATATATACATATACATACAGGGCGTCCGAAAATTAATAGTAAACCTGTTAATGGCCGATTTCTGGGATCATTTGGAGATGATTTTTCCTTGGCGAAAATGTTGATCATTTTTTACATGTTCCCAATTTTTCATCGTGTATCTTCGTGATTAAGACTTCAATTAGATTTTAATTTAATTCTAACTCTAAAAAATCTACACGTGATTAATAAAAGAATGTGATTTTGTTAATATTTTATATTTCCACAAACCTTTTATTTTCAATCGCTTATAACTCAAAAATGATTGATATCTCGACATTTTCGTTGAGGAAGAGTCGCTTCCAAATTATCGCTGGAAGCTAAATCACTAACAGGTTTACTAGTTCTGGGACACCCTGTATACATATACATATACACGTACTCTCGACGTGCACGCATCACGTAGACGATGAGTTCCACGGCGAATGAGTAGGAAAACGGCCGTGTCGAGCGGCCTTAAATAAATATCTAATGTGCACAACCCCGACCAAACCCCCGGTCGATTCTTCCCCCTCGCAGCCTCCCCCTTTCATCCCCCCGCCAATATTGTTTTAGGCACAGCGAGGCCTTCGAGTTTTGTAACTCGAGAAACGAGCGCGATGTAGTAGCAGCAGAGAAGACAACACGATATCTATGGGTGTTCGAAGATCTCTCGTCAAGTACTTAAGTTCGCGGATAACTGCTGCTGCAGCATCGAGGAGCACCAGCTTCCTCGATTCTGAGTAAATTCATCGCGAGGGGGAAAAAAAAAGAAGACACCGAGATAGTTTGGGGAAGTTGCGTAAGCGACTTTACTCCCTGAAATAAACTTCAAAGATGAAAACTTATTCGTAATTCTTTTTTTTTTTTTTTTAATTTATTCTCCGTAAATTTACAACTAAATGTTTGAAAAATGTATTTGTGATAAAAACCGAGAGAAATTTCAGTTTTTGTCGGAGAGAGAAAAGAACCCGGTAAAAAAATTTTTATATATAATTATATATAAATAATTGAATAATTATACATATAATCGTAAAATTATATTTTTGTGAAATATGTCTATTTTTATACATAATTATATAATTTTATATATAAATTATATGAAACATATATATTTATATACTTTATTGTATATATATATATATATATATATATATATATATCAAAATTTATATAATTATATATAAAAGCACTTTTATCTAAATGTATATAATTTTATATATTTATATTGTTATATATCAAACATTTTTTCCCGAGAATCGACACCGAAATAATGATCAGAAAATTTGTAAATAAAGGCAGGGAAGGAAAACTCTCGAGGGTGTGTTCGAATTTTAACTAAGAAACTCCTTTCGCCTCGCAGCCGCTCTGCTGTGGCGCTCATCTATTATGAAAAATACCGCTTTGCTTGGGAAAAGTGTTTCTTCAAAGAAAATCGCGCGAACATAATTCGCGTAATGCTCCCTCCGCGCGCGAAATATTTTCTCTCGAACACGCACATTTTTTTTTCGCCACGCTCAATTTTCTCCGAAAATCAGTCCAATGTCAGCGGAAAAGCTCGTCGATATAAACTGCAGCAATCAATGACAGGGAAGAGGAAAAAAAATATCTCGATTCGATACGCCTTCATGAGCTTTTTTTCTTTTCAGACTCTCTCTCTCTCTACTTTGGCTCTAGCGTTTGTCGCGGAGAAATAATTAATTAAGAGTAGAAGGCTTGCGCACACCCACACTTCTCTCTCTTCATCGTCTTGCTCAGCTTTCGCGCCAACTCACAACTGCGCTCTCTCTCTCTCTCGTCTCCTCTGCTGCACCCCTTTGCACTCGGCACGACCCTTATTACCGTGTCGCAGCTCGGTTAACGCGAGCGGGTTAATGAACAGCTCGGGCAAATATAGAATTTCTCATAAAAACTACAAATTACTGTTGCCGCGGGTGCGCAGAGCGACGGACGGCCGCAATTTTTTTTCGCTCGCGAAAATTATACAACACGCCGGTATAATACCGTGAGAATAATAAAATTGCGCGCGGAGAAAGAGAAAGAGAGCCGGGAGAGAGCGGCGGCACTTTAAAGATCCGCGCCGCGATTTCTCGAAAAGGCAGTTTTTGCGGCGGATAATAGGTGGATGAAAAAATCTACCCGCGCGCTCGGGGAGAGAGAAAACCCGCACCGTCGAGCGAAGCGAAAAAAAGAAAGGAGGAAAAAAAAAAAGAGGCGGCTTTCGAATGCGAGTAGAACTCGTTAATTGGAAAGGAAAAGTTGCCGACGAAATGCGCGCCGGGGTTCCCCGACAATCGCAATTGTGCGAGAGGCGACAGAGGTCAAACACGCGTATCCAGAAAGAGAGAGAGAGTTTAATTATATATTCGAATATATCTGTTGCCTAACTTCTCTTGCGGAGAGAGAAAGAGAACGATACGTTATATGTATAAGATCTATTTTTTATTGACGCAGATATAAAAAGTACAGATAATGGCGTCCGCCAGAAAGGCCATCTCGAGCCGACATTTTGTAATACTGGGACGCGCCAAAAAGTGAACATATTTGAATTGTCTTACAGCCAAGTATAGGTGTATGGATCAATTTTTGTACTCATTACATCTTACTGTAACGCCTAAATCGTTTCTGATCTTCTAGTTGATTTTCTATAAACGAAATACGTAAAATTATTATACCAAGGAGTGTCTATAATGTTTATATCGCGAGTAATACCTGTATAAGACATAGTTCCTGATTCGTCACAAATTTGCTCACCGCTAATAATTCAACGTACACGCATACACACGCATACATACATGCAAATATATGTATACACACACACACACATATGAACACGCTCGTCGTTCCGCGAACGGCGCTCGCATTATATTATTACACTCGTGCTGCTGTTTGTCAGCTTAAAACCGGGAGCCATTAGCAGGTATTATTTTAGCCGTGATCCACTGTTAACGGGAACAATGGCGTCGGTACGCCCGACGTCCCACGATATTAAATGAAGCGAAGTGATACATTTCGAAGGGGGATATATACGAACGGGCAAATAGGGGTGAAACGAAGAGGAAACGAGAGGGTATAGAGATAGAGAAAACGCGGAGCGAGAGGGTGGCACCCCCCACCCCCTGCACGGGAGGGAGAGGGGGTGTAAGACGCGCGGGGGTGCTCGTCGCGTATTACGTTACGCCTCTGGCCTGTGTAAATACCGCAGCGCTGTAATCTAGAGTTAATGGTGCTCCAGTGACGCGGGAGTATCTATCGAGAGCACTATCATCCCTGTATGCGATATCCCACCCTCGAAGGTCCTTACGCGAGGACGCGGAGCTTTGGTTTAATGATGTCCGGGAGCTGCGCTTAATTTCATTTCGCTCGCATCCGTTCCTTTATAGAACCCCGGGAGCTTTAGCCAGAGTTGATTCGGCTGAAACTTTCCGAGCCGATCTTTCGCGTACGCGATGAGCGTAGTTTGTATGTGTGTGAAAGAGAGAGCTCGCGCGAAAATTAGTTTCTCCGTGTACGACTTTGTATAGAAAATGTGCGACAAACTTTTCTATCGGCTCTGCCGTTGACACGCGATTATAGTTAATCGAGATATAAAAGATTAAGGGGATTCTGACCAAATGTGTTTTATCGATCGAAAAAGTGAGATTAGACTGTAAATCTATTTTTTATTAGCCCCCTCTTCCCATTTATCAATATTAATACTTTAATCGTGCAAAAGGATTTATCAATCTGTATATAGTCAATCAAGCACTTGAACTCGTAATTTTATGAGATTTTACAAGTTTAAATACCTATATTTTGGTTGACTATACAGATTGATAAATCCTTTGCACAATTAAAGTATTAATTTTAACAAATGGGGAGCATCATAATTTCAATAAACAATCCGTATAGCCAATAAATAGATTTATAGTGAAATCTAACTTCACTTTTTCGATCGACCAACATATTTGGCAACCCCTTAAGGGCTTAATATAGGAATTAATATATATGTACGTATTGCTTTCATTCGTTTATCTTCGATAGCACGATACGCTATAATCTTTCTCTATTCATAAACCCACGTGGATTCTGACCAAATATGTTTTATCGGTCGAAAAAGTGAGATTAGACTGTAAATCTATTTTTTATTAGCCCCCTCTTCCCATTTATCAATATTAATACTTTAATCGTGCAAAAGGATTTATCAATCTGTATATAGTCAATCAAGCACTTGAACTCGTAATTTTATGAGATTTTATAAGTTTAAATACCTATATTTTGGTTGACTATACAGATTGATAAATCCTTTGCACAATTAAAGTATTAATTTTAACAAATGGGGAGCATCATAATTTCAATAAACAATCCGTATAGCCAATAAATAGATTTATAGTGAAATCTAACTTCACTTTTTCGATCGACCAACATATTTGGCAACCCCTTAAGGGCTTAATATAGGAATTAATATATATGTACGTATTGCTTTCATTCGTTTATCTTCGATAGCACAATACGCTATATAATCTTTCTCTATTCATAAACCCACGTGGATTTGACTCTAGCCGCGTCAATCTCTCTGATGCGGCGCATCGATCCGGCGCAGAGAGAAGAGTCTAACGAATGGATGCAGATGGTAATCTGGCGAGAAGCGCGTTCCAGGCCAGAGTGTGCGATATTATGCATATCGTTTCGCGGACCGGAACGCTGTCGTTGACAGCGCAATTACCGCATCATCTGGTGTCTACGCGTCCGCTCTCTTTTTCTCTTCTCTTTTCTCTTTGCTTTTTCGCAACGTCGTTCTCGATGTCGACGAAACTCCACGCTTCGCATCGCGCGATGACGTTACACGAGATCATCCAACGATCGATCCTCGCACGCTTATCGTTCAATTACTATAGAATTTTTTGTCGGCTGTAGGATAATTACCTAACGCGATGTCCTTTGGGTCGGTTATTGCGAAAATTCATTGTTTCGTTAATTAGAAATAGTATATCTTTGGTTTAGATCTCTATATAAGGGGAACAGGAATTAGAGATCTAAACCAAAGATACTATTCCTAGTTAGCGAAAAAATCGCGTTAGGCTCCTACAGCCCCGATATATATTTATCAAAAAATTATATGCCGATTTCGAGAGCCGAATAATATTGTTAAATAATTATATGCGAATTATTTATTAATTAAAAAAAAAAATGATTTCCCAAATTCCCTGTGTCAGAAATGTCCCAGGGGTAGCAATTGACGTCATTAAACGTCAAAATAATGTCAGTTTGACATTGATGACGTCAGTTTAACGTTTAATGACGTTAGTTCGTTACTTGGAGCCTAATCCTTTTGAAATGATGATTTGGGAGGACACGAATGATGTAAGTGGAACACTGTTTCACGCTCGGTCGGGTTCGATAAGTCTCGCCGACGGCTACTCGTTCTTTTTTCTCGCGGATTAAGAACTTAATCGTCCTAATTAAGTGGCAGTCGGTCGGCTTGCAATGACCGAGGGGGATGAATTTACGAGTGTGCGCCGGTAGAGATCAAAAGAGGGAGAAGGGACGAAAAAAGAAACGCGCGACGAGTGAGAACGCGCGCGTTACGCGCTTCACGCACCTGTCGCAGATCAGAATGTAATCGCGAAAATCAAAGAAACCGTGGCCGGTGCGGCGGTGCGGAGAGACGCGTGTGTGTGTACGTATGTATACATGTACGTATGTATATGTGCGTGCGTGTTTTGCAGCGAGGTGACAGCGAGAGAGAGACGATTTTGAGGGCGTTACTAGGCAGGAAGCCATTTTGGGGGCCGGTGCTTTTGATTAATGAACCGCCGGAGTGTTTGTGTGTGTGTATGTGTGTTTGTGTGTTGTTTGTGTGTGTGTGTGTGTATGTCTCTGTATACGTATGTACGTTCTTGCGCTTTGTCAGCGGGAATAATCGGGAATCCTTGTCGGAGTATCAAATAGGAATCAGCTCTCTCGCATCGGATAATCGATTAATAGTG